AAGAAGAGATGATCCTCCAAATACTTTCCCTTGTGATAGATGTGGTTTATGGAGGACACTACAAAAGATGCCTTCTGGTTCAGATGCTTGGTACTCTTTTTCTTTTTTTTCACTCTGTCACCCAGGCTGGAGTGCAGTGGCACAATCTTGGCACACTGCAACCTCTGCCTCCCGGGTTCCAGCTATTCTCCTGCCTCAGCCTCCCAAGTAGCTGTAATTACAGGCATCCACCACCATGCCCGGCTAATTTTTTGTATTTTTAGAAGAGATGGGGTTTTGCCGTTTTGACCAGGTTGGTCTCGAACTCCTGACCTCGGGTGATGTGCCTGCCTTGGCCTCCCAAAGTGCTGGGATTACAGACATGAGCCACCATGCCTGGCAGTTTCCCCATCTTTCTGATCCAAGGTTGATCCAGGGGAATAGAGTGACATCTTGAGATGTCACATTAATTTTGAAAAAAGTATTACCAACCAAAGAAGTCCCTATCCATGGCTAAGATTCATATTTTATTTTTACCATCTTGACCCAGCTGATCTACTTCAGACCACATTAGACTGTATTCCCCAGTATTTTATGTCTAAAATTTAAAACATATAGAACATTTGAAATAATTGTACAGTGGAGGCCCATATACCCACCACCTTGAGTCAAACTGTTTTATTTTCTCGCCTATCTGTGCCTCTATTCGTTCATTAATCCATTTTAATTGTAACCATTGTTGCTTTTCACCCCTAAACATTTCAGCATGCATTTCATTAGCTAGAGTTGAATACTTTATAGTTTTTTTTTAAGGTAAAAATTACCTATAGTGAAGTGTACAAAGCTCAGTGCCACTCACTGAATTCTGACAAATGCATACATCCATTTAACTCACATCCCTATCAATGCATAGAATAAAAAATTAAAAATTAAAAAATACAGAATATTCCCATCACCCCAGAACATTTCCTCATGTCCCTACCTAGTATATCCTAGCACCAATACCATTCCTGATGCAGCCCCTCCTTTGCTTTTTTTCCCACTACAGTTTTGCTTACTGTAGAATTTCCTATCAATGGAATCAAGCAGCAGATCACGCAGTAAGTTTGTGAGATTCCTCCATGCTGTTGAATGCCTATGTTTAATTTTATTACATTTTATTGCTGAACAGTATTCCATTATATAAGTATAACTTAATTTGCTTATTTACTCTTCTCTAGATGGACATGAGGACTGATGAGTTTTTGCCATTATGAATAAAGCTGCTAGAAACATTCTTGTATGGGTCTTTCTTTTTTCTTTTTTAACCTATAGGTTCATGCCTAACAATGTAACTGCTAGATTCTCAGTGCCTGTTTAGTTTTATAAAAAAAAAAACTTCTATGCCTTTTCCCAAAGGTTGTTCCATTTTACACTCCCACCAAGAATGTATTCTCCACATTTTCACCAATAGTTGGTGCAAATTTTTAGTTTAAGTCATGCTGGTGGCTGTGCAGTGGAGACTGTGGTCGGGGCTGGTGGAGACTCACATTTCTATTACTGCCCCCACTAGCTCCTGTTTTTCACAGTAATGAGCCCTCTCGCCCAGGGATTTTATCTCAGAAGGGGAGAGGGTTTCTAATTCCATGGCTTAGTTCTTTGAAGACCCCAACAGCCGAGAAGAACTTCATTTACTATTTCTTCAATTCCTCTGTCTTGCTTAGGAGGGAAAGTTTTAAAAATATTCAATCATCAAACTAGATCAGGTTGATTAATTCAAAGTTGCATTTTGTTTCATGATATATTTTGAGGCAAAAAAAAAAAAAAAAAAAAAAAAAGAATCTCTAAATGTTAGCCACTGTCTATCTTTCCAGCAACATGTAAAACCTTAACATTATTCAAGAGAAGAAAAGTTCCCAATACTCAGACTCAACCTATTTTCCTTCCCACTCCCCTAAGAACCGCTCTTTAGGTGATCATGACCACCTTGTCAGGCAGGATTGAGGTCATGGAGAAGGTAACTGCGCCTGAGCTGAGAGTCCCCAACACAGGATGTCGCGATACAAGTTTCCCTGGCAGGCGGCGACCGTGTGGGGGACCCTGAAGCAGGGCTCAGGCTGCCTCCGGCTCTCCCTCTGCTTGCAGCTTCCGCCCTTTCCCACTCACAGCTCCATTCCTCGCCTGGCTCCTGTCCTCTCTCCTTCTCCCCCTCTTCCTTCCAACTCTTCTCAGTTACCTCATAAAACTCGTGTCTCCTCATTCTTTCTCTCTCTTGTTCTCTTCCATATGGGAACTAAAAATGTATCCCAAGCTTGCCACGTAACTGTCAAAGTAGTGCGAGTGCCATAATGAAGCGAGACATAATGAAAAACCAAGGCCATCGACATCTAAAGCCCTTGAAAGTCCCAAGAGGTCCCTTTCAGAAGCTCCACAAAGGAACCTTCTACTTTCTCATCCCTTCCTAATTAAACTGGCTTTTCCTCAAGTACCAGCATTCTACAGAGACAAAAAACTTTTGTCTTCACTATTGGGTTTCTGTTTTAATTAATAGCATCACAGCAGCATTGCTTTCTATTACTCCGGTTGCAAAGATACAACATGTCAGTTACATTTTAAGTTATATTGTAATGCTATGCCTATGGCAAACCACGTACTAAATGCCAAACAGACTTAAACTCATGGAATAAAATCAATTTCTAAATTAAGACTTGCCTTTTTTTCCTATTTGGCTTTAAATATTTGTTACCAGAATTTCATCTTTAGCATATTTTCTTTTATATAGATATTTACTAAGACGTAATAGTTCAGTCCTCAACATCACAGTTTTGCATGTATTATAGGTATATAAACATAAAGGATACACTATACTGACTCCCTTTTTATAGATGAGGAAACTGAGCTTGAGAAAAGTTTCATAACTCACAGCTCTTTTTTTTTTTTTTTTTTTTTTTGAGACAGTGTCTCTCTCTGTCACCCAAGCTGGAGTGTAGTGGTGCGATCTTGGCTCACTGAAACCTCCATCTCCTGGGTTCAAGTGATTCTCCAGCCTCAGCCTCCCAAGAGGATGGGATTACAGGTGTGCACCACAGAGCTTGGCTAATTTTTGTTATTTTCAGTAGAGATGGGTTTTCACCATGTTGGCCAGGCTGGTCTTGAACCCCTGACCTGAGGTGATCCACCTACCTCAGCCTTCCAAAGCGCTGGGATTACAGGCATGAGCCACCACGCCCAGTCAGTAATTTGCAACTATTATAGTAAATGGCAGAGCCTGAGTTCACACCTTCGTTTTTTGGCCTCCAGTTGGTATTTTCTCAAGCACTATGCTGCACCTCTCCTCTGTATTGCCTGGTACCACCCAATATACAAAATAAAGCTTCCTAGCATGGGCTTGAATAGACCAGGACTGTGTGATTCACATCCTCATCGTTCTCTGCATCTCCACCATATTCCTAAAAATTGTTCAGACTTTACCTGATCTCAGAAGGACAGGAAAAGGTTGCCAAAAGTACGGAAGGCAAAGTAGTAAATCCAGACAGATCTCTAGTAAATTCAGAGCTATTTTGGAAAATAAGTTGGTATCCAGCAAAAAGACTCTAGCTATGCAATTAATAACAAGCACCTATTATACATTCTAAATAGCTCTCACCTGGCTCTGAGGGTCAACACAGAATATGGCTGATAAATCCAGTTTATTCTGTTATCCAAAGTGCTGGGGCATTCCTAACTCATTTGCCCTAATGGTTATAATACAAGTTGACTAACCATATTCCCCCATTCAGCAGAGCCTTTGTGGGCTGCAGCACAGTTCAGGGCAAATAAAGAGTGAGAGCCCAAATTTGGTTGTAGGAGCTGACTCTTTTCCAGTGGTGCTCCTAGTTCTGCAGCTGCTGCTGACACATTAGGCCTGAGTCCACTGCCTCTTTCAAACTGCCACAAATTGGATTTCATCCTTCTTTCAATAACAGTTTGGTGTCCATGGTGGGCAGGTTCCCTAGCCCTCCAATCTACTCCCTTCCAGTTTACCTTCCAGACTTGAAAGACTAGAAATTCAACAACATTTTCAGACTCTCTTGCAGCTAGCATTCCAGATACAAATTATATCCTCCAATTAGGTGTATTTGCATGAGGTCCAGAAGGCAGAAGCAAAAGAGAAACCATATTTCTTCCCCCCTTTCAAGCTTTTTTGCTGAAAAACAAGATCATAAAAAGGTAAGCTAACTTTTTAACAGCATGCTCCTAATGCTCAATCTCTAACTTCCTAGATGATTAGAGGCTGTTGAGGCAACTGAAAACAGCAGCTTTTTGAGTCTGGCTTTCTGAACCTTGGACTGCAGCTCTGGGGTCCACCTTGAACTCCTCTTTCCAGGCTCATCTCAGAAGTGGTAGTTCCCCTGGTGAGCCAGCCCTGCATTGCTCCAGGTCTGCCTCCTTTACTTCCTTCCTCTGTCACCACCACAACCATTAACATTTCTTGTGTGTTCACTATGTGGTAGGCACTGTACTAAATGCTTTAAATAAATCATTTTATTTAAGCTCCAGAACAACTCCATCAGGAAGGTACTATTAATATCTTTTTTTTTTTTTTCAGATGAGTTAGCTGCACTCTGAAAAGGGATAAATTACACAGAATTAGATCAAAGCTAGTGGTTAAGTAGCAGGTAATGCTGGAATTCAATCCCAGATCTGCCTTGCTCCAAAGCCAGAGCTCTTTTTCTTTAAAGCTAGAGGGCCTATGACATATTAGCAGGTTTTAATTGCCCACATACATTATGTCGCTAAAAATGCTGTCCATTCTTTTCCTTTAAACAGTATAGACGCACAGACCAGTCTACTTCATGTCCAGATATATCTAGATAGCAAAGAAGTCTGATTCAATAGAGAGCCATTTAAAAATCCAGAGGTATCTCTTTGTGAAAGCTTGCCTAAGCCATAACAAGATCATTTTTACAGTAAAAATTAAAGAACGAACGAAGATGAAAGCAGACAGGGCTTTCCACTTGCCTCTGGAAGGACCAGAGCTAGGAGAACAAACTCACACTTACCAGGTGCTCGGTTAAGAGCGAGGTTTCGGAAATGGCTGCCTTTGATCATTTCCACAGATAATCGCCCCGTTGTGGCATTGTACGAGAGCCCCACCAGCAGCTCTGGCGCCCCTCCATGAGACAGCGACTGCGTGGATGAAGTGCTATCACTGTGAGAAACCGCAGATGGGCTGAGCGGAGACCCTCCACTCTGGAGGGGAAGAACAACAAAGAGTCCATTGGCCCACGATGCACTACTCTCTTTTAGAGAAAGCCGATATTATGTTTGGTGAAACTGTGACCCAATCCCCAACGACTGCCAAAGATGACTAAGGGTGCACTCGGCATGAATGACAATGCTCCCGGGGGGCACAGTAATGGATGAGATCCCTGCATTAGGAGCTGACATATTTGTTTCAAGAGCTGTCTCCATTCAATATTTCCCCTCTAAAGACAAAACGGACAAAGATGTTATTACTAGTGTAAATTAAAGCCTCTAAGATACACGGAGAGCTAATAATACATTTAATATAGACTCAAATTCCCTCCTGTGTAATCTGTGCTTGGATGTTTCTAAGGAACCCCTCCACTCCAGGCCCGAGGTTTGTTTCTGTTCTCTGCAGCTCCTTGATGAATGCAACAATACAGGATATTCTGTGTCTAAACTATGAAAGAAATGACCACTGGACGTCTACCCCCACATAGAACATTTGGCTCCTAGTTATGCTTAAGGCTGTTAAGTATATGCCAGGTGCCAAATTTTGCCTTTTAAAGAAATAACTTACATTACAAATGAGCACTTTCACAACTGTTTGAGAAAAAAGCCAACGCATAGTTGTGGATCTCAGCGACTTGACAGGCACCAAGTGAGCCCGGGAGAACCTGACCTTTCCGTCATGTTTATTCATGGGCACACTTCTCCTGAGCACCTACCCTACCCCACCAGGCACGGGCACTTTGGGAGGAGGAGAGCAAACCTGAGCAGGACACTGATTGTCACTCGAGACATGGGGGTAGGAATCAGCTCTGAAACACCACCTCCTCCACCAGAAACAAGGGCATTAGACTCGGCTTAAACCTTTCTTCTCAATGTCTGAAATCATTTCTTCAAACTTCTGACCAGAAACTCAATAATTAGAACCAAGAAAAGCAATCAAATATTCTGCCCATCTGCAGCAAAGTATCCTGTTTACCAAACCACAGATACGTCTGCAGACCACCCCCACCCGCCCCCAGGCTTTTATGGAACACAATTTGTAAATGGCAGGGCTAGGTGGTTGTGATAGATGCCTTACAGACCCTGCTGTCCAGAAAATACAAATTCAACAATGAAATATTTGCTTACTTCCAAGTGAGACTCACTCCCACTCCTGTGCTTCTGTAAAAGCTTCCCACTGTGGCACCTGTCACTCACTGCTTAACTGTCACTCACTGCTTGCCTCTCCCATCGGATTCTGAATCCGTCCATATAAATCTCTCAGTCCCTGGTGCATCACTTAATGTCTGGCATATAACTATGCTCACCAAGTAACTGGTGAATGAAAGATTTTCACCTGCAAAGTTATTTTCCACTAGCTTATTTTCCACATTCAACTCTGTGCCACCAGCATACCGCACAGGTCCTGGTAAGGAGAAATACGGGTGTTTCATCCCTGTTCCCAAGCTCTATCATGCAGGATCCTTTCTGACCTCCTGTGCATTCTGTTCTCCATCACTTCAAATGTGCTTTATTTGGATATTAAGAAAAAGGGAGACTTCAGCAGAGATGAGACATCATCTGGCTTATGCTTTAAAAGGCTCATTCTGCTCCCATGTCCAGAAGAGTCCATAGACGCAAAAGGAGGAGTGTAAAGACCACCGCTGTGCGGCTATTTCAGTAATCCAGCGGAGAGCCAGGTTCTGGTTATACCTGAAGATACAGCCAATAGGATTTCAGGTGGAAAACAGAAAAGTCGCAGATGACTTCTAAGATTTTTGACCCTAGCAATTGGAAGAATGAAACTGCCTTTAAGCAAGATGGGGAAGACTGCAGGTGGAATAGATTTAGGGAGGCAAAAGTCAGGATATCAAGCTTGAAGATGTTAACTTTGAGACATCATTAGGCATTTAAGTAGACGGATCTGCTACCACTACACTCCAGCCTTTCTGGCTCCTTCGATCTTCCTCAGACATGGCAACCCCCCATCTCCCACACCCTGACTGCTTGCATGTGCTGTTCCCTCATCTGGAACCCTCATCTTCCACGTCACCAGCCTTGCTCCCTTGATGCCATGAGTTCTGGCATTTTATCGCCATCTCAAAGAAACTGTCTCTGACCCTCTAAACAAGCAGCAGCCTCTGTCGCTCTCCTTTCCTACTTGGCCACCACTAGACTGCAGGCTCTCCCGGGACAGAGGCACCACCTGCTTAGTGGTTTCCTGCATCCACTTTTGCCTCCACCATCACTGACAGTAAACATCTCTGAATGAATGAATGACTGGCCCCTAAGCCTCGATGGCTCCCTGATCTTTTTATATGGTTTTCTCAAAGGAGATCTGCATGCTAAATGGCATATAACCCACAGCAGTAGTGGGCTGCCATCCTGTAGACATGCAAATTATGACACCTTTCCTTGAAACCCTGAGGCAAGCAGGGAAATGGGGTATGTGGGAAGAGTATGGGAATATAAATGAAAGGTTTCAGAAGCAGCTGGACTTCCAGGCTGCTATCTCAGTCTGCCTCACCATACCTGTTAAGAACCTTGCCCAGAAAGTCCCACCTCTGAGATTCATCATGAAGCAAAGTAGGGGCAGGAGAATGGATCACTTATCCACAAACCAGAAGGCCAAGCCACCTTCCCTGTTTTTTTCCGGGCCCTCTACTTAACACTGCTGCTGTCTTGTCCTAAAATGGACAGGGCATTTATCCATCAGGTTATCCAGAAGACAGGCATGAAAGACCCATTGTACCATGAAGTGCAAATCACGGCTTACAAGGGTGAGGAGAGCCAAATGGAAAATTAAATTAAGGTCTCTGAATTCACAGACTGAATGTACTAAATCAAGGGCTGACAACCCCAGGTCTTCGAACACACCACATCATTAGCAGCACCATTTAACATACTCACGCTTATATTACTTCTTGGCTCCAGAACCAGAGTCACTTTCATTTCCCCTTCTGGGTGCAGGTGGCTGAGATAGAACAGTTTCTCTCCCATCATTCTCTCTCGGGTCATCTTACGGGCTGCGTACAGGCGGAAGCGAACAGCACAGGCAGCCACATCTCTGGGCTCCAGCTTGGCAAAGGTGACCTTCTCCCTGAAGACGGGGTTGGGCCCTCTCTGTATGTTCGTCCTGCCCCTCTGTTTCTTACCAGGCAGCAGCACTACATGAACTTGCCAGGAGTTGACACCACTTCGGTCCTTATCTGGGAGGCCCTGTGCTCTCATGATGGTCACTGTGAGCTTCTGGCTGGCAGCTCTATATTCAAAGATGACATCTAGTTCACCACACTTTGAGATGGGCTCTGTGACCCCAGATGGCACCTGCAAATTGGTCCTGTCCTGTTCCTGTTGCAGTCAGAGGAAACAATTAGAAATGGAAATGTTGATACCCAATTACATTTGGCCCATTGGTGCCCATTGTATTCCTTCAGAATCCCTGCTTTCTGACTGCCGGTGTATTCCCTCTATATCAGATAGGTCTCTCTATTGGTCTATCTCTGCATTAAACTGTGAATTCGTTGACAGCACAGTGCCTAGCATACAGTGCGCCTTCCTGGGTGTTTTTGGAATGGATAACTAAAGCTTTTATATTTTGCAAAGTGTTTTTATATACACTGCCTCTCAAAAAACACAATTGCCGAGATCATTGAAACCAACTGAGATGCTATACCTAAAATTAGGTCAACAGGCAATTATCCATAGGCAACTTCTCCTTGTGTCCCCAAATACAGATGGTCGAGCCTGAGCCTGTTCTCTACAGGCAAGAGCATTCTACAGACAGGAATACTGATGGGGGTCTCAGGAAGGTGATGCTTGAGTATATTTTCAATCTGTGTGGGAGAAAAGGCTTAGGGCTGAGATTCTCAAACTTTCATGTAGACCTGAATCATCGAAAGATTCTGATTCAGTAGGTCTGGGGTGGAGCTTGAGATTCTACCATTTCTGGGATGTGCGCAAAAGATGTTGATGCTGCTAGCCTCGGCTCTCACTTTGAGCAACAAGGGTTTAGGAGGACACCCCTGCAGCCCTTTAGTAAACGGCAACATTGAGCCTGGAGCCAGCACACGTAGATTAAAATCATAACTCTACCACTGACTAGCTCTTTCACCCTGGTCAAATAGACCATCCTCTCTGTGTATTCTAGCTTTAAAATGCACATGAATATGCCTACTTGCTGGTGTGTTGTTGTGAGGTTTTAATTGATGTGAAAATACCTGGCTCAGACCGGACTCAATAAATATCTATTCCCACCACCGGACTGGCGCTACCAATTCTCAAACACACATCTCTCTACATGAAATGTCACCCTTGGGCAGCAATTTACTTGCAGCCACTCAGATCTGATGACCTTACTGGGAAAACTGAGCTGAACTACGTTTATTATAATGAACCACCTGACCAACAAATGATAAATAATGTCAGTAATAATTTCGTTTTTCCGCTGAAGGCACGATCCTTACCTGTAACTAAACCTTAAACGGATTCTTATTGCAAATAAGTTCTTATTTATGCAATTGAATACCAGACCTTGCTAATTTAGAGATCTCCTCATTTCAAAATCTTAACAAAATGCCTCAAAATGTGTATCCATCAATGAAACTTTCCCACAAAGTCCAGGCAAAAGTTCATGTTCTCTGGGTTCATACATCCTTAGGAAGCCCAGGCCTACTGCTTACTAGCTCAATGACACTAAGCAAGTCATTCAATTCTTTCCTCTTCTATGTTCCTCAACTGTAAGATGGAGATGGTACTTTCTGTGTAGGGATGTTGTAAAAAGTAGAGGACTTGACAGATAGTAGACATCTAATAAATACCCTTTTCTTTTAAGATTCAACTTAGCCTACAAGAAAATTTAGATTTCTTGTAAAATAAGGGAAGCTTCTTATATCTTTCCCTCTGAGCATGCAATCATGCGTGAGTGTTTCTATTCAGAGGTACTTAGTTTAAAGTGATAAAAGTGGTTGCTATAGAGACTTTTGAATACAACTGACTAGTGTATATATATATATATATATATATATATATATATATATATATATATTAGAAGCAAGTCTCCAAGGATTTAGGCCAACTCAAAAATCAAGTCAGAATCTTCTCTCAAACTCCCTTGTCTCTTCCTAAAATTCCCATCTATTTTAACCTACTCTTGATTATCTCTGTATTGCACGTCTGGCCATAAGTAATAATAGCCAACATCTACTAAGCCATTTTCTTATGCCAAGTGCCATCTCAAATCCTACATAGACTATAAAAACTGGCTCTCATACACTTCAGATCTTCTTGGCCTTACCCCATGTTCCATCTTCCCCTAAGGCACAGCCTCTCTGGGCTCTAAGTAGTTTCAGCCTGGAACAACTCAATAAAGTCTTACCTTCTACGCATACAATATAATTCTCATCTCTTATCATTGGTCCCTCTGCTGACACCAAGGCTTAGACAGTTGCAGAATCCTGCTTGACACCAATAAATGTAAAGTCTACTCTGCCCCGTGGTCGAATTTCTTACCAGTTCATACAGCTTCTTGGAGTGTGGTCACACAAGATCAAGTAAAGCCATCCTGAGTGGTGCCGATTCAACTGTGTGTTCTCATACTGGGTCTCCCTTCTTTCCGTTCTCATTCTTACTTCCCTTGTCTCCTACTTTTGTTCCCTGGGGTTGCACTCCCCAAGTAGGGAACAGAGTCTTTACTTAGACTCTGCTTTTTTGAGGAACCCAACTAAGAAACATTATCTTTTTGAATATTTAAATTAATGTTATGAGTATTTTAATATCCACATTTTATGAAGGAGGAAACCAAAGCTTAGAAAGACTGAACAACTAACACACTCCTTCAAGCCCAGATCATATTCCCAGACAAGATTACCCAGGACTCATTCCCTGGCAGTTTGAGTCCAGGGCCTGCCTTAACTGGTATTCAATACTCAAAATCCCAAACCTGATTTTGAACCAGAAGATCTCCTTTCTTCTTCCCCAAACCTTTAGGCATAATTATTTACATATATACATTGAGTGTACAAGATGAAGCGGGGAGAATACGGAAGGTGGGGGTTGGAATCACACTCTCTGTGATTTTCACATCCTTTTAGGCCCCTGCTCCTAATGTTAGTTAATAGCTCTTAGTTTTGCCAGCTTCAATGCCAAGATAAAAATATTTTAGTGAATGAGGATCTCCCTCCAAGTATGCATCAGGCTATCTCTTCAGATAAATGCTCACTCCACCTGCAGTTTTCTGGAGGAGCCTGGGCAGAGTTCCTGACCGTCCTAAGAACTCCTCTGAATAAGGCACAGCTCTGGCCAATGGCTGGGGCTTTGGATGGGCCAGTTCAAGCTGCTTCGCATGAAAACTGGGCTTCGTGGCCGCTCCCTGGGTTGATTTGAGAAAAAATTTGTGAATGTTGGTATTTTCAAAGCAATTAATTATTTCGACACACTTGACGACTGAAGGAGCCCCTCGTGTGGGTACTGTTAATACCACTAATCCATCTGACCTTCCTGCAAGGTAAAAATCTCTTCATTCTTATCCCCATTTGGCAGATTTTAATTAACTTCTCAAGGCCAACCAATTAATCAGTGGAAAGCAGAGATGAAAAGTGGGACACCTGTCTCCCTGTGTGCTCAAAATCACCAGTCACACTCCCATTGTCTTTCCTGCCAAGTCCTGGGTCTGCAGGAAAAAGCCAAAGGCCTTTGCCAGCAGAGAAGAGCAGAGCTCAAAAATCCATCAGCCTAACAGGTAGTCACACTGCACCACCGGTTTCCTTCTGAGACAAAATAAATGATTCCTTGAGCTCTAATATCCTGGACTTTTCTTTAAGATGAGAATACTTGTGTCAAATTGTCAAAACCCATGTAGGTTTAAAGATTTTCTGTCAAATTGAAAGCCTTTCTGTTTTAGTAAGATAGTGTTGATGTCATCTGTGTGGCCTAAAGTAAACAGACCTACAATATGTTCCTGATGCCAGATACACAGGGGAAGACAGAGTTCTCAATACAGCTAAGAGGCAAATAAATCAATTCTTAAAAGGCAAGCTAAGCCTGCAAAGCAGGCAGTTACGGGAACTGCGTCCGAGTTGGATTTGAGGTTCTACTGTGGGAGCACCAAATTACAGTTTTTTCTCAAAATAGACAGGAAGTTGAATGGAGCACACAGAGATGTCTGGGTATTTTTGGAGTCTGAGAACATTTAGTACCCACAGTACTGAGTCTTCTATTAAAGCTCCAGCAGGCAGGTACATGGGAGGTGACCTAGAGAAGGCACCTCCAAGCCTCATGGCACAATCATCAAAGGGGACAGAGCATCACTAGGCAGGCAAATGGTTTGGTCTGTTTTGTTTTGGGGTGAGAGATTCAAAGTATTTTTTAAATGTTAGTGTGTGGGATTTGATATGGCTCAGTAGTAAACTAATCGGTAAGCAGAGTTTTTTTCTTTTCTTAAATGTTTATAAAGTTAATGGCCTTGGGTGGCTCTATATGAAGGGCTGCTTTTTAATAAGCCACAAACCACATATGTGAGCTATCATGTCTGGTCCTCAGCAGAGACACCTACACAGGGGCACAGATGTGCATGCGCACCCCTCCTTAGACACTACCTGTATTATACCAATGTGTTAGCCGTAAGGCTTGGAAACAAGATTTTCTGTGACTTTTTTTTTTACCTTGAGCATTTAAGGTATGTGACATTCCAAGTCCTAATAAGAGATTCATCCTGTTTACTTTCTCAAACGGATGCTAATAAAATCCATTCACCCTCCCAAATTCCTTCCCCTATCCTTGCAAATTATATTGAAGGTTTATATATGTTATGTGACTTATTTCATCAAAATTAATTTCAAATTAGGTATTAAACACCATTCCTGAATGCCTTCCAATGTCACAGAATCATGATAGGAGTGATCTCTCTAATGGAAAAATAACTGTAAAGCCCTGTAAAATGAAACAATTTTGTAAAATCCTTATCACAGTGCCTGGCGTATACTAACTGCTCAATAAATGGTAGCTACTACCATCATCACCTGCAGTCATATCTCTGGATTGATTGTTAGGTTTATTCTGGACTAAGCTTTACTTGAAAAAGAACTTTGAAAATATCCTTTTTCAGAGATTTACTCCAAAAAGCAATGTCAATGGCCAGAGGGCCATTACTGATCAATGCTGTCTCCCAGGCCTTCAATTTAATTCAAAGCTAACAAATATATTCACACTGCAAGATCCACATCATCATACCTTGCATAATTTCACTTGGAAGGCCATTTCATTTTAGTTTAACTTTCAAATAATTTTCATATTCAACTACTCATAACTTAAGATTTGGGGTAAATAAAAATAGACTTCACTTAACTGATACCATGAAGTAAATAAACCAGTCGCCTTAAAGAACTGAAAATTCCATTATTTAAAATTAAGCCTGTAAAAAGCCTTTATATAAAATAAAGGCCTGACTGTTCCTGAATCCATTCTGCGACCATTCTTATTCTTCTTTACTTTTTTTTTTTTCACCATTTTCCCTTTTTTCTTTTTTCCATTTTGAGAGAAATTTATGATTCTTTCATTGACATGTATGGGATTTTGGTCATCTGGAAAAAAATTTATCTCAGCTAAAGGTAATGCTTCCTTTCTGGATTTTGTTTTGTGTTTTGTGTTTTGTTTTGTTTTGTTTTGTTTTGTTTTTTAGTGAAATGATGACAAAGGAGAGTGGGAAGAGGCGGAATCAATGAAAGAATGAAAAACAAATAACTTGCCTCTGGACTCCACATGGAGGAGCTGTCAGTGGCATAGGAATCTTCAAATCCCCGGCTATTAAAAGCTCTCTCCATCTCCAAGCTGCCCTCTGTGGATTGGCGCCTGAGGCTTTGGATCACACTGGACTCTGGGTGAGATGTGCTATGGTGCTTGGCATCCCCCCTCTCACAGGGAGACTGTGAATGAGCAGGGATGTGGTCATCTTCACCATAGGAAAGATTCTCAGAATAACTCCGTTGGCTGGCTCCATCCAAATCTAAATTTGCAATAAGAAAACTATTTCAAATGCATTATTTTTAACAGTTTTTTACCTAGAGAAGTTGAGCAATTGCAGTCACAACAATCGAGACTGCAAAACAGAACCCATACCAAAAACACCTGCAGAAACATACTATCAATACAGTAACAAAATATCCATATAGTATATCCATACAGTATATCCATACAGTGAAGAAACTTGATCCATAAAGTGAAAAAGAACATTATCTCATTAGGTGGGGTATCGGAAGGTTTAATACTTTTTACATGAGTGTAGATAATGTATATTTATGTCAAAAGGATAAATTAGACACAGCACTTTGCTGGAGCTAACCACAAGACTTCTACAATGGATCTAGAAAGCAAAAAGTCATCTAATTTGGAGATCATATGGTCTCCTGACTCTACCATGCTTCTTTTTCTCTTCAATGTCTACTATATCATCCTCTGCTCAAAAAGCTTCAGTGACCCTACCAAGTAAAAGTTTCTCTCCTTGGTCCATGGTCTTGGATTGATATGACCTGAGTTTAAATCCTGCCTCTGTCTTAAGAACTTGGACAATATTCAAATTCTCTGAATCTTTGCTTCTTTATCTAAAAAATGATAAAAGCCATCAGAGGGTCACTGTGAACACATGAAATAACATTCACCTGGCAGCCAGCAGGCCTTCCAGAAATATTAGCCTACTTATCTGCCTGGCCTGAACTGGCCTCATCCAACCCATCCAACCTCATTTTCCACTGCTTCCCAAGTGACCATCGCCTCATTCCTCTGGTCTCACTAGTTTATGAAAATGCTAGCTGTGCATTTCTGCTTACAGTGCCCTCCCAGCATCCTCGCCTCCCTGCCCATACAAAGTGCCACCAACTCCTGAGCCTTCCCTGCCTCCTTCAGCCTCCACACTTCTCTGTTTCAGCACCCCTCACCCCCATTCATCCCTTTCCACTTCTTCCTACATGTCAAGGTTGTCCTCACATGGTCAGGAAAACCTGGAAGGGTCTTCCTGATAAATAGCTGCTCCCACTATTTGCCCCCCACACCCAAAGAGCAGCTGAAGATCTCTTATCTCTTTGGTCTCTTTTCTCCTCCAGCAGCCCCCATCCCCAGATGAAAGGAAATTGCAGATTTAGACAGGACAAGGGAATTGGATGGCAGAGTCTATGTCATAAAGCTCTTACATGTACACTGTATGGTAGTAACTGTTTTCTCTCATTAATTATATATCCACTATTAATAGAATGTAAGCTCCTAGACGGTACTAAGCCACATACATCTACTGCATAGTCTTTAACTGTCAGTGGGTTATCACTAAACCTTCAGAGAACTTTAAAGTCTAGGTAGTTAACAAATATTTACAGCAGCCAGGTATGCAGCAATATGAGTGGTGGCAACAGGGGTTTACCAGAGTACATGACCCATGTATAGTAAGCATTTAAACTTTAAAAATATATTATCAACTAGACCATATAAAAACATCTTCAAGCAGATCCTCGGGGCAGAACTTTAGACTCCTGATTTGGGGTTTTGCAAAATCACAGCAGGCCATTGAGAAAGCCCCCTATCTGCCTTGTTATCCTTAATTATTCAGTCAGACCCCTTGGAAACACTCTCGTAGGCTATCACAAAATTTTTACATCCAGACTTATGGTTATTTGGAAAACATACTAAAAACGGGCCACACAAAATGACAGAACAAGGAAAGATCCACATGCAAAAACCTACAACACAAAGCAGAATTTTCTTCTAAGTCTCTAATTAGCACACCCACTCCTCACATATACAAAGAGTAAGATGTTCTATTAAACAGTGGGTCATCCACCAACATATGTAGAGCCCAGCAGGATTTCAGTGCAAAATTTCACTTTGCCAAGAAATTACCCCCATAAAATTCTCAGGACTTTAAATCCTATGGTGATAATACTAAGATCAGTAATAAGGGAATTTCAAAAGCTACATTAAGCCTTGAAAAGCTATTCATAACTGAAAAACATAAGAACGATATTAATGTAACAAACCATTTTCCATGACAGACAAGCAAGGAATGAATTAGAGAAGCAAATCTGGGGTACAAGTACAGTTGCAAGGAAGAGGAAAGGGAAAGGTGATTCACCTTTCCATAAAGCAGCCTTTCCGTGCCTTGAAATTAAAGAAGATCATGTCACCTTCAGTGCGCGCACAAAAGTAATTGCCTGTTGTCAGAGAAATGTATCCTGGCTTCTTAGAAATTATAGGCCATAACTATGTCACATCAACCAAATTTATTTTAACAGAGAAATTCTTCCACTTGCTTAGTCCATATCCCAAGTTGATGGAATAAAACCCTATCATTCAAATACTTTTTTTCATACTACCAAACCTGTCTCCCCAATCACTACCCAAATACAAAGACTTCTGCTTACCATCTGTGGCGGTAAGTTTTGTGTGTCACTTGGCTAGACTACAGGTGCCAATTAGTCAATCAAACACTAAATCTAGGTATTGCTGTGAAGGTATTTCACGGATGTGATTAACACCTAAAATCAGTTGACTTTAAGTAAAGGAGATTATCCTACGTAAGCAGTCAGTTGAAAGACCTTCAGAGAACTAAGTTTCCCCTGGAGAAGAAATTCAACCGAAGAAATACAGCTTTAGTTCATGCCTGAGAGTTTCAGCCTACCTTTCCCAACAACCTGTCCTGCAAATTTGGGAGCTTTGTATTTCTGCTACCTAGCCAGCCACCACCTTCATATAAGCCAATTCTTTGCAATGAATCTCTTAGGGTACATACACACACACACACACACACACACACACACACACACACACACACACCCCTGTATGCACATGTGTCTGTATGCACATGTACATTATGTATACATAAACATGTAATCCTGCTGGTTCTATTTCTCTGATTGAACCACGACAGATATACCATGTGAAACAAAACTAAGTACATATTCTGGAAATAATTGAGCTGGTTTTGATGATACCAAGTTAGTAATATGTAGCTTGTAAGAAATATCCTCAGAATTACTATTCCATAAGCAAAAATAAGGTTACTGCTAGAAAAAAAGAAAAAAAGCCCCAGTAAACGGATTATTATTCTGCAGCTAACCTTTCATGCCTAAAGACCTCAAAGACAGGTCTCCAATCCAGACCACTTAGACCAAAAACCCTATTTAACATTGTCAGGAATGCAGTGACAATTAGCATGTAATAACACTAAATCAGATACACAGGACAAAAGAGAACCTGCCTAGAATATGATTCTAAATAGCCTCACCATGAAACCTAGAATGAGGGAACTCACTTAAGATGACATATGAGACTAACTACCAATAGCTCATTAATGCTTCAGATTTTACTTAGATCTGGCCTTTTAATTTCCGGTCTAACACTTTCGAATGCATTTTTAAAGTGGAAGAACTGTTTCTACAACTAAATTCGATCACACAAAACAAAGTTTTCAGTTGAAAAAAATAGCTAAATAGAGAATAGGCACACCAAAAAACTGCCAGTATTCCTCTCTGGGGTATATGCTTAATCTTTTCATTATGTTTTACCACTGAAAAAAAAATCCACTGATATAAATGAACAGAAAGAAATCAAGCAATAAAAACCATGTAAACATTTCCATGACATTTGGTAACCTAAAATTTGGCCTGTGGCTATTTCTATGAAAACGTTGCTGATTTTCTTCAAAATCTACAGGTATTTCATTCAATGTAGTAGATTTTTTCCTCTTTAACTTTTTCTACCACTATCTGTCTAAAATTCAAAATTACCAGTTAGGACAAGAGATAATTTGTTGCTCATTCCAGGAAGGATAAGGGTTAGAATCGTTGTCAGAACTCTCAGAACATCAGCCATTTGTGTAAATCAGAAGCCAGACACTTGGCCTTTTGGGAAATGGGGCCATTAGCTTTAGGATTAAACAAGCTGTTCTCAGGGAATCAACAGCTATTAACTTTCATTAGCTAACATTTGCCCTCTCAATGGAGAGAAAGGAATGCTGTGATGTAACGTCAGAGAAAGAGAAAAGCCAAGAGAGAGGTTGGGGAGATGACAGTGTCAGCGTCCACTGATGTTGTGGTTTGGTTATATAAGCCCTTTATTTATTAATTTACCTTGGGCTAAAAAGAATGGCAAAAAAAAAAAATTATGTTGGCTTATGTCGGTAAGTCAAACTACATGACGAATAGCAAGTTATTCCTGCTGAAAATTAGAGGTCTTTTTGGTAATTTTACCTTTTTAGTCCTTTATTCTGACTCCTAGTCCTGTGCTCATCCTCAAATCAAAATTTCTGCTCTTTTATCTTCTCTCAGTGTGTGATCCCTCCTTTTTCTCTGCCTGGGTTTGAAAACATGGACCATCTATCACTATGCCCCCATCTGACTGACCACATTCCCAAAAGGAAAGAAGAAAGGGTGAGAGAGCTCAGGTAACTGAGACCAGTCATGAAGGTGGATGGCATAACGTTTTCTCTTGTTTTTTTTGTTTTTTTTTTTTTTTCCAAATACACTTCACAGACTGTTCCCTGTTACAATAGCTGTGCCTACTCAGGGCTCTGGGCATAAAAGAGTCAGACAGATACCTTGACCTTTGCTTGGAAAAGCACAAAAAAAATAGCATACTGTTCTGTTTGCATCCTCTCTCCAGGTTACTTTGGGTCTATGTTAGGGGGCAAGAAGGGCCTGTAACAAGGTCTGCCCACCATCCCGAGCTGGCCACCCTACTTTGAGTATCCCCTCCCCTTTGTGAAGGGTAAACTCAGGATGACGATGCTGGAGAATGATAGAAGACTCTCCGCTTACCCAGTAATTCTCATGCAGGTGGGCTTGTCAAAAACTACAAGGACTGAGGGTAAGGATTCAGGGACATGTGGTGTTTGAAAAAGGTTATTTAACATTATTACACTGCATATTTTTTATTTGGCAGATAAAAATACCTATTCCTTTCATAATACAAACTAACTAGAAGAAAAGCTTCAAAAGATCTTCTGGAGTTATATAGATATATGGAAAACTTATTGTATGATTTTAAATGGGATAATGGCACAGACTCTCAATGTCAGTGGACAGGTATGTGAAAATTTTGTATTTATCAAAAGGAAACAAGATTTGATAAAGCTCAATAAATACCATTCTAAATTTAGGAAGAAGTGGCCAGTAGGGAAGAAAGGGCTCCCACAAACTAGTATCAAGACCCACCCTCTTCTGATCCATTCCCTATCTGAACCTCCAGCAAGGCAGTGCCTTGGGAGGTTTAAAGCAGCCCCTTTGCTCCATCCCACGTGCTGCATCCTGTCTCATTTTCTTCTCCTCTCTGGATTCTCAGACGCAGAGTGCGGAGGATGACTAACTCAGGTGCACTCTTACCACTGGTCATCCCTGGTCTAGATAAAGAAAGGGTGTGAGGCAAAGGATACCTTCACAGGCAGATACTTCTGTGCCATCTTCTTCGTGCGTCGACAGCAAATGGCTGAATTTCGGTTTCTGCTCCAATCCTGTCTGCTTTCCTTTCTCAGATGTCACTGAACGGAAACTCTGGGACCGGGACACGGAAATCTCAAATTGTTTGATCACCTCCTCGTCACTGTCAGAAGATGTGGACAGGTCTTCATCATCGCCAAAGCTGTTGACTGGAAGTAACCAAGAGCCATGAGTTTCCTGTGTGGCCTATGTGCTCAAATACAGAGACAGACTCTCCAGGGAAACGGAAGAGAAGAACATGAACAATGAGTTTGAACGAAGGCACGCTCGAACTGGATAGAAAAAAATTTAAAACACTTTGCAACACGAATTTGAGTCCAAAGAAAAGAATGCTCATGAGGTAATTAGAAATAGAGTATATATATACCTAGAACCCAAGAGAAATCATTGGGGCACCCATAATCATCATAACAAGCCCTCATGTTGAGCCAGGCAGCCCTGCTGATTTGTTATGTTGCTGAAATGTGTTCATAACTGGAAACAGAATGTGTATCAGCTCATTTGCCTTCTATGCAGTTCTAGTCAATGACCCCGGGACATACGCTCTTTATCTCATCTCATTTGTTAAAACACACGTAGCCAATCCCCACTTCGGAGAAGAAATATCTACAACCATGATTTTCCAAAAGCTTTCTAGTTTTGAAAAGAGACTCCACCAGCCACAGTGGCTCACACCCGTAATCCCAGCACTTTGGGAGGCTGAGGCATGTGAATCACTTGAGGTCAGAAGTTTCAGACTAGCCTGGACAACATGGAGAAAACCTGTCTCTACAAAAAATACAAAAATTAGCCAGGCACGGTGTCAGGTGTCTGTAACCCCAGCTGCTAGGAAGGCTGAGGCAGGAGAATCACTTGAACTCAGGAAGTGGAGGTTACAGTGAGCTGTTTGCACCACTGCACTCCAGCCTCGGTGACAGAGTAAAACTCCATCTCAAAAAAAGAAAAGAGACTGTGTGTGTGTGTGTGTGTGTGTGTGTGTGTGTGTGTGTGTGTGTTTGTTTGTTTTAACTCATTTAGAAATTTTCTGAATCTTTCTCAGCATCAACAACCCAAATATCCTTCTTTGAATTACTGGTTTTTAAAAAGAAGTTGTATTTTACATATATTTGAGGTTTATTGCATGATGGCTTGGGATACATACAGATAGTAAAATGGTTCCTATAGTGAAGCAAATTAACCTATCTGTCACCTCACATAGTTACTTTTTGGTGAAACAATCGCAGCTGAAATCTACTTATGCAACCAAAGTCCCTAATAAAATAGTTTTATTAGCTATAATCTGCATCTTATAGGTTAGATCCATAGGCTCATTCATCTTGCAAATCTGCTTTGTATACTTTGACGTGCATCCCTATTCCTGCCCACTGCCCCCTGGCAACAGTTTTATTCTGTTTCTGTATGTTTGACCTTTTTCTTTTCTTTTCTTTTTTTTTTTTTTTTGATTACACACACAAGTGAAATCATGCAATATGTCTCTTTCTGTGTCTGGCTTATTTTATTTAGCATAATGTCCTCCTGTTCCATCCATGTTAGGGCAAATGGCAGATCTACTTTTGAATTTTTTTTTCATTGTAAATATAAAAATCTCCTTCCTTTCTAAGGCATATTTATGTACCAGGATTTCTTCATCCATTCGTCCATTGACAGACACTGAGGTTGTTTTCATATCTTGGCTAATGTGAATAATGCTGCAGTAAATGTGGGAGTGCAGGTATCTTTATGAGGTAGTGATTCCACCTCCTTTAGGCATATACCCAGAAGATGGACTTCTGGATCATACGGTAGCATATTGTTCATTTCTTTTCTCTCTTTTCTTTGAGACAGATTCTCACTCTGTCACCCAGGCTGGAATGCAGTGGCGTGATCTTAGCTCACTGCAACCTCTGCCTCCTAGGTTCAAGCAATTCTTGTGCCTCAGCCACCAGAGTAGCTGGGATTACAGGTCTGCACCACCATACCTAGCCTTTTTTTTTTTTTTTTTCCTATTTTAGTAAGACAAGAGTTTCACCATGTTGGCCAGGCTGGTCTCAAACTCCTGGCCTCAGGTAATCCACCTGGGCCTCCCAAGGTGCTGGGATTATGGGCATGAGCCAACATGCCCAGTCTATTGTTAATTTACTTAGGAGCCTCTACAGTGCTTTCCATAACAGCTGCAACAGTGTACATTCCCATCAACAGTGGGCTAGAGTTCCCTTTTCTCCATACTCTCACCAATACGTGTCATCTTTTGTCTTTTTGCTAATACCCTCCTAATGAAACACCCTGTGAATTATTCACTTTCTCCACACCCTCAATACACAAGCACACTGGCCCTCTTTCAATTTCTCCAACAAGCCGAGGCTGCTCCTGCTGTCGAGCTCTTTGACTTTGTTGTTCCTTCTGCCTCCCCCAGTGTTTACATGTCTGGCTCCTTCACATTGCAGGTCTCAGCCTGACTGGCACTTCATTGTACAGTCCTCCCTGAACATCCTCCCTTAAGCAGCTGTCTTCATAGCACTAAGCTTCAGTTCTCTGTTCTCCCCTGTAAATTCCGTGAAAATAAGGATATTACTTATTTTGTTAACTGATGTCTCTTAAGATGTAAAACAATGCCGGTTTCACAGTTAGTAGTTCCTAAACACTTGTTAAATATTGAATGAATTGGTGAATACCCAGTGTTCTAAACCTAAGTGTGTATGCGTATGTGCACACGCACACACACACACACACACACACACACACACACACACGGTTCCCTGTGCTTGCAATACTCTTCTCCAGCCCCTATATAGACTAGTCAGAAATCTAATTCATCACTGAGGTCTCAGTCTAGACATCACTTCTTCCAGAAAGTCCTTCCCTGACCTCTTACATCAGGTTACAGGTTCCTTGCATGTGCTTTAAAACAATTTTCTGTTCCCTCTTGTCAGTGCTCCCTCCCATGCCATAGCATTACCTATCTAACTACAAATCACCACACCTAACCTGCACATACCATGCGGATGAGGAGCACGTCAGACCCCCCACCTTTGCATCCAGGCCCTGTCTCCAGGTCAGGTACACAGCAGACTACTCTGTAAATACTTGCTGAATGTGAATTGGAAACTATAAATAATGGGGAATAATTTTTAATCATTTTATATCCCAAAGTCTCATGGTGATTCCAGAAAAGAATATGATTGTTCATTCACAAATAGGTCCTGAAGATGACTTCTGAATCAGAAGCCAGGAAGGAATAAAAAGCCACACTTCAAGTGAGAGAAAATACTTTTGAACACCAGCCTGGTCAAAATATGTATTCTCTGGCTTGTCTAAGAGCTGACATTCCTGAGGTTCTTTAAAAGACTAGCAATAATAACACACTTACTGAGTGCTCGTTATGTGCCAGGCACTGTCATAAGTGCCTCACACAGAAAACCGCTACAATTATTTCCATTTTTCCAAGTAAGAAAATTGACGCAGAGAGAAGTACACAGCTGGCAGAAGACCACACTGCCAATAAAGAGCAGAACCAATATCTGATTCAAAGAAGCCAGTCGCTAGCACCCATATTTCTAATCAAAGTGCTGGAGAATCAGAGAGAGGTGGTAGAAAGAACTCTCACTCTGTGTACTCACATTAACTAGGGGAGCGCCTGTGGCCAAGTCTCTTAACCTCTCTTATGCCTTGTTTTTGAATCATTTTAAAGGTCTAGAAAGCTCTTTTCTAGCTCTAAAATTCTCCAACTTCAAACTTCCTGCTGGACACGCATCAACATTCAATTTGTTTTTCACGGATCTTCTCTTTTACGGAGCAGCTTCTCCAAGAGTACATCTTTGTCATCTCACTTAATTCTACTGGCTGCATCTAGCACGACAGTAGGACCTGAAAACCTAAGAGTCAGAAGAGACGAGATTTCCCAGCATTACTCCAATAAGCTATTCAAATACCATTCCACCAGAAAACCACCGTGTGCTGGGCATAGCACTCTAGGGTGGGATGGATCACTGCGTCTGGAAAGATCCAGGGACACCAGGAACAAAATGGAACTACTTCCACCTTTAGAGTACAGGACCAGCTAAGTACCTGGGGAGATATATGCACGTGAGGAGTGTTTGGATTAGACATCAATCGGAGTGCTTTCCAACTCTGAGATTCTATTCTAGTGTATATTTCTAGGCCAATTTTTAAAATTTAAGTATTCATAAGTCATCCATTTCAAATGAGTTAGCCAATGCATGAATATTTTTCCACCAATAAAATTAACAATTGCAACTAATAGACTAATAGACGGTCCTTGATTTTTTTTCCAGTGAGCCACTGATCATTCACAGAGCAAAATTCTCTTTGCCTGATATAATAATCATACAGTAGTTACAACATTTCCCATATACTAAACATATATGCCAGCTACCTTCTTGGGACTTTGCATCTATCTATTCCATGAAGTAAGAATTATAATTCTGATCATGAAGTAGGAATCATAATTCTGATCATATAAATAGGGAAAAAAAAGGCAGAGAAAAGTAACTTGTCATAAGGCAACAAATTTCAGAAATTACTAAAGTTGGGACTTGAGCATAGCATCTGTGTCCCTAACCACATTGCATTGCATATCATCAGATTTCATTGCATTGGGAAGCTAGAGCTTTATCTAGCTTACTCTTCATAGTAAGGTTTTGCAGAGGGCTCTCCTGCTTCCACCCTGAAATCTGCCAAGAGTCTGCTTTCTTTGTGACGGATAAAGGAAGAGCAGAGCAGTGAGAAGGGCAGTAGTAGTGTGGACGTGAATGCATAGAGGCTTACTGCTCCTTGTGGGGTTATAAATACATGTGCACGTGCTATTCCAAGCCTCACTCCCCAAGGACCTCAGGGAATTCTCAGTCTAAAAAAGAAACCTGCGATGTCTTCCAAAGGCCACTGAGCAGCAATAGAAGTTAATGGTGGCACTGTGACAGGAATAAAAGCAATCCTTTATGCAGCATTTATCACATGCCAGGAATTGTTCTACTGCCCTGACATGTATTAACTTATTTACCCCTCACAACAACCCAGGGAAGTAGGTATTATTATTATCCTCAGACTATGAATGAAGAAACTAAGACACAATGAGGTTAGTAACTTACCATAGTCATAACAGTCTATAAGCAGTGGGCCAAGATTCAAATCCAAGCTGTCTTGCTCCAAAGTC